TGCCATCAACACCTTTGTTTCTAGATGTTGGAGCTTGGCCTGTTTTCCTGTGCTCTCTTCATCCTCTGACATGGGAGCTGGCTCGGAGCTCGTCTGCCTGGCTGTGTGTTTCCTGGGCAGAGCCGCCTTTTACAGTTGCTTTTGTATCTAAATGGTCGTTAGGGGAACCTGATGGTCATTAACTCCCTTGTAAGAGTGGTTTTGGTCACATCCCTTATTGAAGTGTGAGTCAGGTATGGGCAGGTGGGAGGTGAATCCTCTGGTTATTGTTCCTAAAAATGCCTAAAAATGCTGTTTTCCAGGTTAACAAAGAGGGCTTCCGTAACCCCTCTCTCAAACCATCAGTCTTCCTTGGCCAGAATCTGGATGTTGTTCTCAAATGAGTGTCTTTTAGCCCTCAGCTGTAGGTGAACAGCTGAGTCCTGTCCTGTGGAGTTGGCCCTAATGTTGCCTGTGCAGCGGTTGCTGATTCTCTCCAATCTACAGGTCTGTGCTCTCTTCACTACACTGAGAGGCATAAACCACGCTGTCGGTCTTGTTACTGGGTGTCTTGTCTTTAGGGTGAATCAGTTTTTGTCTCTGGGTGTTGCTGGGTTTGAAGTGCACAGGGATCCGTTTTCGGCTACAAGACAACCTTCCTGCCTACAGCCATTAAAGGTCAAATATCACAGTATGCTACAAACAAAAAAACATTAAGAATGAGCCCTCCAGAAAAAAATTCCCTCAGCCTAGGCAAACAGCATGAACCAAGACCCTCGTTATTCATCCCTTCTGTGGATGAGCAGTTTTGGCTTTCAATGCCCGCTCTTCTGAAGGCTGCGGCCTCACAACCTGTAACCATGACAACCAATCAGAGTTCTCAACGATAGTGGCTAGGACCATGGATTAATACAAGTCTGTACCTTGACCCATGTGCTGCTACAGGCCGCTCCGAACAGCTTATTTCCCCTTATGATATAAAGGGCATGCTTTTCAAAAAGACCATTTTGCAATTATAGATGTGATTTTTTTTTTTTTTTTTGGCATTTATGAACCTTATACACAGGCTTCAGGACACCTGACCGTTACAAAGTGTTTATAAAGTTTAGAATAATATGGTAAGTAGGTACAACTTTTAATTTCCCTTTTGGATCAATATTTTGAATAGGATTAAGTCTGTGAACCTAGTTCCTTAAGTCGCACCAAACCTGAAACATTGGGTCAGTGCTTGCTTCAGCTTTACAAATGATCATCCTTTTGTAGTTGATGAAGATGGTCAGGGACTGCTTGGGCTACACATAAGCAAAAAATGGGACTCAGTTTATTTTGAATGGATGTCCACTAGTCAAAGGCTCACTGCAGACTTTGTGACCTAAAGAGCTGCTGCATATGAGTTATTATAACAGATTCCTCAGGCCAACATACAGAGCTTGACACTATCAATGATACATCGGGGCTCCCCTCTTGAAATATCGACTAAGTAAGTTGGCATAAGACGCACCGTCTTTGGCCAGGTCATGTGACCTGGAAGAAGGTATTGCTTTATGGCCACAGGCTCTTATAACGTCATGGAACTCAGACGTTTGCTCTACTATTTTTCCACCTGCTTGACTGATGGTCATGGCTGAGGGAAGGAAAAAGGCTGTGTGAACTTATTCTTTTCTCATACGACCTTTCCTTTACCCTTGTCAAGAGTAGGGAGGCAACTGCTTTCTGTCATCCCCAATATTAGCTCCAGCATACAGACTGGTACATGACTTCTAAACAATCACCCCTATTTAGGCAGAGGAAAGGCACACTCAAAATATTTTATCTCACAAATAGGCCATTTACCACAAATAGGCCAAGGAAGAATATGCTTCCACAGTGTTTATACGCTAGGGCTCCCACTTGGGAGCATCTTCTGCAAGTCACAGTTCTCTGCCGAGCCGATCAGCCTGTGGACCGCTCCACAGCCTCTAAGAGAGGCTCACTCAGCATCCACTGACTGTCACTTGCTGCCACCCCGAGGACTCATCAACCGAGCCCTGCCTAACCCTCTACCCAGAAGCCTCCTCCGGGTTAGCAGCCACCTTCCCCACTGCAAGCTCCTGCATTTCCCACCTATGGACCTCCGCAGCCCCACTCACTCCCCCCGGTGGATTGTTCACGAATAAAGCGGTAAGCCTTTTAGTGCTGTCGTTCTCATCTCTCGCTCCCTTCGTTTACAGACACCCTGAAGAAACTCCAAATGTCGTCTTTGGTTGTTTTTTTTTTATCTTAAATCTGTCCTACCTGTCTCCTTGGTTTTCTTAATGTGGGTCAGAAAACAAGGGACCACGACTGATGTTTAGGAGAAGTAAAAGGTCTAGCACTGTGCCTTTAAACTGAAGCTTTTCTATGGCAACAAACTGCCACAGGATACAAAGTCTTCATTCAGTTCAAAAATACTTAACTTGAATGTTTTTCCCTAATGGATTGTTTGTTCTTTAAACACGTTTTTCGTAGATGTTGAAAGCTGTTGGCAGGAAGGGTCTTCTGTCTTGCACTGGATCATTGACTGAAGACACCCTGTTTTGGTTTTGTAGTTTTCTGACGATGCTCACTGTTATCTATAATGTTTTCCATTTTATGAGGAATTGCTCCTTGTGAAATCCTCTCCAGGGTTCGGTCATTTCTCTTGCACTGTAACCCCGGCAGATAATGGCAGAGAAGTTCACCCTTTCCACAACAGACTGATACAGCACATGCAGCATTTTACTCCAAACACTGAAAGACCTCAAGAAGTACAACCTTCTCTGTCCAGCAGTGTTAATCTCATCAGCTTTTTTTTTATTAAGTCTTAGTCTTAGTCACAACGACAAAAATCAATTTTAGTCTTTGTCATATTTAGTCATTGCCTTCCCGATTTAATTTTAGTCTTAGTCTAAATGACGAAAATCAATTTTAGTCTTAGTCAAATTTTATAAATGTTTCTCATTTTAGTCAACACTGTAAATAATAGAACTTCTCCACTGCTTTTTTAACATATATATCACACTATACAGAATAAAAATTCTTCACACTGCTTATCTTTTTCTCTATTTTATTTATATAACACTGCAGAATAGAACTTCTTCACACACTGATTCTCTTTTTAACATATATCCCACTGCACACACTGAACCTTTAGTCGGCTTGTTTCATCATATCCATAAAGTCTTCATCCTCAATGGTCCTTGCAGGCAGGCCAGAACACCCATTCCACTTTGCCATTGAGTTCTCCAGGGCTTTCTGCTCTTTGGAGTCAGGGGTGGGGGGGCATCTCTGACCCAGACTTCCCTTCCTTCCCCAACCTCTGATCTGGCTGTGGCGTCACTGTGTCAGAAATCTAGTTGGGAGGAAGAAATTTAAAGGATTAATATCCAGAGTATCAGTAGAACATCTTTCTTCTATAACAGAGAGACAGATACACACACACACACACACACACACACACACACATATACATGTATATGTGTATGCACGCCCACTCACTCACACACCCATTCCCACTACTACACCACCCGTTCCTTACCTTCTTCCATATGGCACCATGTTTCCTTAGATGTCGTTGGACATTCGCTGTGTTCTTCTCTGCCATGTTGAGGCTGCAGACTATTTGGTGGCGTCCTTCCTCCGATGTTTTCCTTTGCCTTGTAAACTAAATGGCTCCATACATCACTGTGTTGTTTAACAAACCACACACCGGAACCGCAATGACTGCGGAGTTGAGCTATGAGTGTAAGTCCTCTGCTAGTACTGACTGAGCGGCGCGAGAGACTGTGGGACAGGCGCCGTGTGGGACAAACAAGGCAACAACACGTAATCTTCTATGAAGTTTAAGAAACACTCATATTAACAATTATAAATTGATTATAAACAATTACATTTCTTAATGTCCATTCATCCATGGATCGTAGATCTAGTCTGTCTTAGTCTTGTTGATGAAAATCCTGTTTTATTTTCGTCATATTTTTATCTTCTGGAAACAATTTTGTGCATTGATGAAATATTTCATCGTCATGGTTGACGAAATTAACACTGCGCTGCATTCTGTCCTTGGCGGTGGCCCCAGCATACCAGATGGAGATGGAGGAGGTGAGGATGGAGGAGGTGATGGAGAAGTAGAAGTGGAAGTGCTGGGGGTGAGTTCTTCCTGAAGTCCTCACTATTTTTAGAGCTCCAGGTTGATCTCCCTGCACCAGGTCACCAGATGGTCAACCTCCCACCTGCAGGCAGACTCGTCACCATCAGAGATAAGTCCGCTGAGAGGGGTGTCGTCCACGAACTTCAGAAGCTTGACAGACTGATGCCTGGAGGTGCAGCTGTTCGTGTTCAGGGAGAAGAGCAGAGGAGAAAGAACAAATCCCTGGATGGAACCAGTGATGATGAGCTGGGAGGAGGAGACATGTTTCCCAGCTTCACCTGCTGCTTCCTGTGAGACAGGAAGTCTCTCATCCACCTGCAGGTGGAGTCAGGCACACTCAGCTGGGAGAGCTTCTCCTGAATCAGAGCTGAGATGATTAGACTAAAGGCAGAGCTGAATATCAAAAACAGGATCCTGGCGTAGGTAGCTGTGAAATCCAGGTGCTGGAGGATGTAGTGGAGGGCCATGTTGACGGCGTTGTCTGCAGACCCGTTGGCTCTGTAGGCAAACTGGAAGGGGTCCAGGAGGGGGTCAGTGATTTCTTTCAGGTGTGAAAGCACAAGATTCTCAAAGGACTTCATAACCACAGAGGTCAGGGCGATTGGTCTAAAGTCATTAAGTCCTGTGGACCGTGGCTTCTTGAGAACAGGAATAATAATGGAGGATTTGAAGCAGGATGGTACGTGACATGTCCAAAGTGAGGTGTTAAAAATTTCCGTCAACACTGGAGACAGCTGAACAATACAGAGCTTCAAGGTAGATGGAGAGACAGAATCTAGTTTGGCAGCTTTCCTGAGGTTCTGTCTTCTGAAGAGTTTATTAACATCTCTCTCATTTATGGAAAGAGATGTCACTGAGGTGGGTGGAGGGGACAATGGGGGGGGTGGTTGCAGGACTGTCCTTTTGTCTGTCGAAACAACAGTAGAAGATATTCAGGTCCTTGGCTAAGCGTTGGTTGTTTATTGAGCGGGGGGGGCACTAGACTTCCTCAGAGACGGACCTCCGGGGTCTGGGTCGGACAGAACAGCTCTGATGTCATCAGTCTAAGCCCCTCCCCTCAGGGCTGCGTCCTGAGCCCCCTGCTGTTCACCCTGATGACACACGACTGCGTCCCAAAGTTCACCACCAATCACATGGTGAAGTTTGCAGACGACACCACGGTGGTGGGCCTCATCAGAGACGACAACGACCTGGACTACAGAGAGGAGGAGGAGCAGCTGGTGGTGCAGAGATAACAGCCTGATCCTGAAGGTGGAGAAGACCAAGGAGATCATGGTGGACTTCAGGAAGAACCGGCCTAACCACGCTCCACTGCTCATCAACAGGTCAGCTGTAGAGGCGGTCAGCAGCACCAAATTCATCACAGACACCCTCACCTGGACTGGAAACACCACCTCACTGGTCCAAAGGGCCCAGAAGCGCTTGGTCTTCCTCCTTCCAACCCTTCTCCTAACTTTTATTTAAACATATATTGAAGTATCTGCTGGTTAAAATCACTGAGTGCTGCTTTGTGTCTCTGCTCCAACCAAGCTACTATGTGCATGAATAGCGAATAGGGACCCCAATAATATAATGTCCCAAAGTGAGAGATCCAGTGATATTACACCGATATGCAGGACACAGGAGCAGCAGGAAAGAAAAAAAAAACACGGATAGCTGCACCCAACCCCAGTTACTGTTGGCTAAAGTAAATGAGCACAAAGGAGGGAAATTATTGGTGGGATTATTGGGGGTCATGTTCACAAGAGTCCTTCAGAAACTTACTGTCTGTGCTTTAAAGTACAAAATAAACTAACCAATGACACCAAATGTGTAACTTTGTGATAAAAGTTGGTGGGCACATGTCCACACCAGTCCTTCAGAAAGTTAGGCCTGTGAATCACACAGTGACTAACCTTTCCAGATTTTAAGGTGGTAGATAAAAGTGGCTGTAGTGAACCCAGCATAGCCTTATTACATGACTGCCTGACAGGCTCTCTGCTGTTATTCTGCCTCTACAGGTAAGAAAAGAAGCCCAGCGGCGATCAAAGAGTCAAAGTCGTAAAACAAAACAAAAAATCTAAATAAAAGATTGTTCACAAGTCTGTAATTGCGAGTCAAAGTTTAGTCTGAAGTCCTTCAAATGCAAGTCGAATCTTAGTCTAAGTTCACCCAGCAGCCTAAAGTGACTAAATGCAATTTTTTTGCTAATATGCGACCTGGATCTGATCTTTTCATGACTGTCTGAACAACTCAGATCTGATCAATGCAACCCAGGTCATTTGGTTCTGTGGTCCTGAATTTGATACGAATCTGATCTTTTCAAATGGGACCTGTGTCTGCACAGTCAGGTCGCATTCATCCGACCTGAACACCATTAAAAACCGACAAAGGTCACTATTCAGCATTGTGCTACACAGAAGCGGCAAGAAAAGCCACAACCATGGTGGACAATTATGCAGAGTATTTATACTGAAAAGATTGTGTTTTTTGAGGTTGGGAAAGATGGCTAGATGCACTCTGACACTAACATCCATGTTTACTTCCGTAAACACAGAGCACGCTGGCTTGTGACGCCATTGCGTCCTCTACATGATGGACGCTTGCATTGTATGAATGCAGTTCCCACAGGGGATCACATACAAGTCGCATATATTTGGAAATGTGAACGGCAAAGCAAAAAAAAATCCACAAGAAATCGTAATTAAGCATTAAGGCCTACAGTGTGAACGTAGCTTTAGGTCCCCATCGCTCATGCACTCACCCCTCAAGCTTTTTTTTCTCTGTCATAGACAGTCACCCTGCAAAGAGTGGAGGGGTAGAGTGTTCAGGTTTGGAAGGATTCCCAAACGGCTGGTGTGCCAAGCTGAGACCAAACCAGCTGATTACTGCTACGTCTCACTGGATAGATTGGCTAGTTTTTAATAGTAAGGAAGGATTTGAAATCCACCCCCTAAGATGCAAAACAAGAAGAAAGGAGATGGGAGTGGCCTTTATTGACAGAGTAGCACCAAACACCTTTTAGAACTGGTTGAGGTTGACTCTATCCACTGCAACCAACTCTTTAGTTTATATTTGCAGGTTGTCTCCACAGGTGCTCATTTAGATATTGTTAAAAATCTAAATCAGCATACTTGACCACACTGAGAGTTTGGGAAACACATATTTATTTTGGGAAGCAGTGGACATTTATGCTATTTATGCTAGGTAAATAACATTTTATGATTAAGCCTACCTAATGAATATACAGATACGTAGTAAAAGCAAGAGTCAGATAAAAGAGTATTGAAGGAATAAAAGTCCTTACCATTGCTTTTTTCACTGTCAGCTGGCTTCATCTGGATTGGGTGATGCATCTGAAAACGTAACAAACAAAAATGTGCTCATTAAAGAATCATTTGATAGTAAGCTTTTATCCAAAGTTCAAGCAAACTCAGTAAAACGTCTACTTCAGGTTGAATATAAAGAAAGCTATGAAAAGTATAAAGCCCAAACTCCACAAGCTCCTGTCCATCTCGGGTCAGTTGCAGACCGCCTCGTTCTTTGAAACAAACTCTGGAACATTGGGGCAGGGCCAAATGGACTGGAGCAGGACCAAAAAACTTGACGGTGACGGACAGAGAGCATGTCCATTGACCATGATGGGAGAAGTTAGAGAATATGACATGGTTCAAAAGTTCCCAACTAACAATGTTTGTTCTTCCACTGTACGACCCCCACCAGCGTTTACATTATTGTTCCAGTTGGCCTGGGATGTAAAGAGGAGGCTGAGCCAGAGCGGTGATCTGGGCTTGGGTTGCCTCGCTGGAGTCTGGAGCTGTGTTATTTAGAGAAAGAACATCCATGGATAGATCAAATCCCTCACCCAGAAAACTCAAAGTCATATGCCTAACACCATTCCTTCTTTTTATGAACATTTGTCTGCTCCCCCAAAAATAAAAGATTCTCCTAGAGTTCTTAGTATTCTGCCTTAGAAAGAGATATGATGTTTAGTCTACATTTAGTCTTTGCTGTTTGCTTTGCTAGCCAAAGTATTCTAATAAAAACTAAAAAACAAAAAGGAAATGTTAGATAAATGAACATTGGATTTATGTAGTCAGCTTTTCATTAAGTTTTCTGACGATTGTAAAACAGTCTTATGCATGGTGATGGATAAGATCTAAGAGGGTCTTCAACCTTTATCTGCAGTAAAACTCATTTTAAAAACAAAATCATGGAGATTATGGTTAGCTGCTGAAATAAACTGGTTTAGTCCAGTTTGGCAAGCATAAATAACTGGATGTGGTAGATTGGAAACAGATTGATTGTGTGACTTTTCTTAATAAGGTTCCAAAAAGGTTAGTGATTTGTTTTTTTATAAACCAAATACCTGGAGTTTTGTTTTGTTTTTTTCCAAATTTGAAGAAGTTTTGTTTCCCATCCAGGAAGCTTTTTAAATTCAAAATGTCTGGATTAGAGTTGAGTTCCAAGCTTTATAGAGAAGCCCAACAAAGCCTTGTTATGGCTTAGAACATAGATGGCTTCCTTTACACCCCTCTCAAACCACCTGTCACCTGCCAATTCACATCATGTCATCTCAAGGCACTTCACAGTTCACCAGATCATCCAGTCAGATTGATTCAAAGTTTTCTATCTAAGAAAAACCTGTTGATTGAATCAACTCATTGATTTAAATGCAATCCCTCACACCAAGCGTGACATAGGTGAGGAAAAACTCCCTTTGAACAGGAAGAAACCTCCAGCAAAACCAGGCTCAGTGTGAGCGGCCATCTGCTGAGGCCCACTGGGGTTCAAGGAGAAAACTCATTTCAGCCGCTTGTATCCGGGATCTCATTCTTTCGGTCATGACCCAAATCTCTTGACCATAGATGAGGGTAGGAACCTAGATAGACTGGTAAATCGAGAGCTTTGCCTTTTGGCTTATCTCTCTCTTCAGCACCACAGACCGGTACGGGACACGCTTCACAGCAGACGCCGCACTAACCGCACTCCATCTTCCCCTCATTCGTGAACAAGACCCCAAGATACTTAAACTCCTCCACTAGGGGCAGTACATCCTCCCCAACCCGGAGAAGCGACTCTACCCTTTTGAGGCTCCAGACCATGGTCTCGGATTTGGAGGCACTGATCCTCATCCCGGCCGCTTCACACTCGGCTGCGAACCGCTACAGTGAGAGCTGTAGATCATGCCCTGATGAAGCCAATAGGACCACATCATCTGCGAATAACAGAGACACAATCCTAATGTACTCTGGTTGTATTTCTCTTTTGTTACAGTTTTACAAAATGTTTTTATTTGGTTACTTGTATTGTTACTCAACTGACTGAAACACCTCTAGAAAATCTGCAATTGTTTTAACTGTGTTACTTTAAGAGCCCCTCCTTTTTATTTCTTCTTCCGTGGTCTTTAAATTGTTTGAACCCTTAGACCCTCCCCTTTTGTCATGTTGTCCTGTGGGAGAGGTGTGTGTTATTTATTTTTCATCTGAATACATCCAGTTTATTTATAGATCTATTAAGTTAACTTTTGTTATATACTTCTGTTTTGTGTAGGACTTGGAACAGGCAGCCTATAACATGGCTGGTTTCTTGTGTGTTGTTCTCGTCAGGTAAAATAAATTGAGAAATCGCCCTTTTAAAGAAAAACTGTGTCACGGTCTGATCACTTAATAAAACCAGCACAGGGCAGAAAGGATCCAGTTACACTAAGGCCACCAAAACAGATCCCCTCAACTCCTTGGCTGTGCCTAGAAATTCTGTCCATAAAAGTTAAGAACAGAATCGGTGACAAAGGGCAACCTTGGTGGAGTCCAACCCTCACCGGAAACGGGTCCGACTTACTGTCGGCAATGCGGACCAGGCTCTGACACCGGTCGTACAGAGACCTAACAGCCCCTATTAAAGGGCCCGGTACTCCATACTCCCAGAGTACCCCCCACAGGACCCCCCGAGGGACACGGTCAAATGCATTCTCCAGATCCACAAAACACATGTAGACTGGTTGGGCAAACTCCCATTCACCCTCCAGGATCCTGCTGAGGGTATAGAGCTGATCCAGTGTTCCACAGCCTGAACGAAAACCACACTGCTCCTCCTGAATCCCAGATACAGTTGGGTTTACTTCTACAAGAATTACAGTTTCTCAGTTGAAATGAGCCAGAACCATGGGCGTAAATGCAGCGTACCAGGCTGTACGGAGAAAGGGGAACATTTTCCCAGTCTTCCCAAGGATCCAAAGACCCGACAGGCATGGATTATTTTTGTCTATCAGAAGGTCCCTGCAGAGGTTGATGCTCAACTGTTCATTTACTCGAAGCATTTTACCGAAGACAGCTTTCAAAATCTTGGTCAGTTCAAAGCAGGATTTGCTGAACTTCTTTTTCTGAAATGAGGAGCTGTTCCCACCGTAAGGCCATCACAACTATAAGCTGCAAGTATTATTCTGTCTCTGAAAGGGGAGGGGTGTTTGGTCGCTCCGTCCCCCGCTGTTTGTTCGCACAAAATGAATTTATTCAGGGTCGGGTTTGGCAAAGCGTACAAAGTAATAAAATTGTTTTATAAAGTTAATTGTACTTCTAAACATCTTTAGACAGTTTTTTTTCTAGCTTTTATTGTCATTTCACTGTCACCAGCACAGAGTAATGAAATTCACTCTCTTCCTTTAACCCTTCCCTTGAGGAGCAGTGGGCTGCCATTGTGCAGCACCCCGGCAGTAATCACCAAATCCTTTCTTTGTTTTAAGCTGCTAACATGTTTTTTCTTTTAGAGGGAAAATACCAAAAGCTGCCTTTGTTGCTGCAGATTGAACTAGTACCATATACCGGCGAATCCCCAGCAGCAGCTGCCTCAGGCCCACTCG